GGTGGAATCCATCTGCCATGGGATAGTCACAGGGTAATTGTTAAGATCACAGATTTTACCTGGTTCTTATCCCAGCTCTGCTATTTAGCACACAGTTACTTAATTTTTTAGGCCTCAATTTCCTCATCTGTAAAATGGGGAAAATAATAGTATATACTAAGGATTCTTACTAGGAGGATTAAATGAATTACACTTATGAGGCAGTTGACCATTACAAGCACGGGCTAGGCCCTTGGCAATTGCTAGTTCTTACTGTTCCTCAGAGTTATATACTACTTAGTGCCCAATATCCATTAGTTTTCCATTAAGCCTCACAGTTATTCTTAACCCCATTTTACAGATGGGAAATTTAGTCTCAGAGATGTTAGTCAGTTGCCCAAGAAATCTATTCAATAGAAAGTGGCAGAGCTGTGACCAAACCCAGGACTGACTGGAAGCCTGGGTCCTTTCCCACAGACAGTGTCTCTCAGATTATCATGACCAAGTCTCAGAGTAGGAAGTGCAATTTGCATCCACACCTGGCAAACACAGACATCAGTATAATTGACATTTACTTTTACTGCTGACATGTGCTGATGTTTTCCTTTATAGTCTACTCTACTTCTTTTTTAAAAAATGCTTCTGTAACCCATTAAGTTGACTTTGCAACTCATTGTTGGGACACAGCCATAGGGCAGCAGCATTTTGCCTCCCAGTATAAAATTATTTCACATTTTATACTGGGCCCGAAGCGGCTGGAGCTGAAAGTAGTGAGGAGGGCCCTCCATGTGCTCTAGCTTAGGGCCCTGTGTCCTCAACCAAACCTCCCCAGAGGACAGCCTTTCTCACACACCTGCTGTCTCCAGAGGGGGTGCTCAAGGCTACAAGTACTGGGAAGCTTAACCTATAAACGGCCTAAACAAGCGGAATATTCATTATGTCCCATGATCAGAAGCTCATGACAGGGAGCTCTGGGGTCGGTAAATTCCTTGGCTCAGTGCCATCCTCTGCTCTGCCCACCCAGCCATGTGGCCATGTCCTCTCTGATGCTCCTCCCTTGTCCTCTCTCCAGAGGGAGGAGAACCTCCCCAGAAACCACTCCCTCCAACCTCCTCCTCATCTCTCATTGGCCAGATCTGTCCCACATGCCCAGGGCTGACCCAGAGGAAAGGAATGGTCATCACTGCCATAGAACCATGTTTTCAAACCACTGGGGCTGAAAAATCAATTTAGTGAATCTTGAATACCGTTTTTCTCATAGAATAGTATAGGATAGAATAAAATAGAAAATGTCAGTGTGCTACACAAATAGGTTAAGTATTGTCCTGTGAATTCTTGTTCCAGTCACATCTCTATATAAACAAGTGTATGAGCCTGGATGGTGATGTAAATGGCCCATATCCTTGTGCTCCTCTCCCAGGATGGCGGGAAGCAGCTCCTGGAAGGCATGTCAGATAATAGGACCCTCCTGGAGTTTGACTTGCGCCTCTCAGACGTAGCCCGGGAAAGTGAGTACCTCATTGGCCAGGCCCTCTGTGCCAACCGTGAAGCAGCCCGCCAGCAGGCTTTGAATTCCAGCCACTTCATGTCACCAATCATTGCCAAGAGCCCTGAGAACCCTGCGGTATAAGATGGGGGACAGGACTGGGGCAGCAACCAGACCAGGGCCACTGCCCCAGCCCCATCCCTCATTTCATGCCCCTGCCATGCCTGCTGCAGTGTCACACTGGTCCAGGGAAAGGGGTGAGGGGGAGACCACAAATATCCTTGGGGTGTGGATAAAGATGTGAGGAGAGGCAAGGGCCCAGGTGGGGAAAATGGGGTATGAAGGGAGAGGGTATTACCGGACCCCCTGGAGTGACTGATTCTTCCAGAAGTAGGGAAGGCACAGAGGACTGAGTGACTGTGCCTGCCCAGGGGTCCACCCATCTCCCTGACTCCCCTCGCCACCATTTTCCTCTCTCTTGAACAGATTTTTGGCCTCTTTCAAACACACACACACTCTCCTCTCTCTCCCTGTCATCTGGCCACAGCAGAGCTTTGCCTGGTTCTTTGACCTTCACCCCAGACCTGTTACCTGACTCTGCTTAAGTGATCCAGTTCTACAGACCCTGTCATACCCTAATCCTTCCCCCAACCCTGCAACCTGGGAAGGGGGAAAGAGGTGACAGGAGGGGCTCAGACCCAGTGGTCTCCCCAGAGAGCTTCTCATGAAAGGGCAAGATGGTGGGGAAGTGCCATGCTGGGAAAGCAAGTCAGCGAGTCATCCACAACTTTATTGTCCATCAGTTTGATTTGTACAATCTTTGCGCTTGGAAATCCACGACAGAAAGGCCACAGTGTGATGCACCCAATTGACAGAGACCTGTCTTTTCCCCAGCCAGGCCCAGCCCACCCTGCAAGCCCTTATCCCCAGGATACATGAAGCCCTTCACAATTCCTGTCACTCTGTGGCTGCCCACCCTGGGGCCACACCCACAGGAATCACACTAACCCACAGGGCCCTGAGAGGACCTGACTGAGGCATTCAGGCTGAGCCACCTCTCCCGTCCTCCTCGGGCTGAGGAGCCCAGAACCTCCAGCCCTGTGGTGTTTCCACAGTCTGGGTCATGGGCTGCAACCAAAGCTTAGGGGTGCCTGCTATCTGGGGACTCTTTCCAACAAGCAGGCTCTGAGTGGAGCACCAAAGGGGACTTGGGAGTGACTGCACATGTGTGCCTGTCCGGGCAACCTAGAGTCTGTCTGTGTCTGACACCCTCTGACAGTTCTGGAGTGCGAACGTGTAGGTGTGAGGGTATGTGTGAGTGTGTAAGTGTGTGTGTACATAGCCACAGCTGCTAGCAGAGGTTCTAATTAAAGAAACAAGAACATTCAGCGTGAAGTTTAATTTTAGAGATTAATTAATTTTCTGGTTTTCATTTTCCCTGGCAATCAATAAAGCTATCAAGAAAATAGACCAAAGAATTGGTTTCTCTAAGTCTGTGCATGTGTGGGAGGTGAGGCTGTCTGTGTGAGGAGAGCTAGGCAGAAATGGTCAATCCAGGCAAAAACAAGAGGCCCTCCTCTCCCCTCCTCCCCGCTCAGGCTCTCTCTCAGGAACTCTCCTGAAGGGAAGGAGCTGAGTTCTTCCCTCCCTGGTGAAATAAAGCAGCCAATCTGCCCACACACAAGGACATTATATCCAGGTGCCAGCTGGCCAGGAACTGGGGCCTGAGGCCACACTCCCCCACTCACAGATGTCCATTCAGAGGAAAGAGGGTGCACCAACCGCTAGGCCCCCAAGGAGCACAGACTCAGGGGCCAGGCAGGGTCTGTGTTGTTAGACAGGTGGCCACTGCTGCCCAGAGAGATCTAGTGGGCAGCTGTTTCCTCCTACCCAAGCCTCCCTTTCTCCAGCCTCTTCTCGCTTCCCACTCAGCCATCTCTACATGAAAGTAAAGCTCAATTCCCATGGGCTAGGGGCTGTGGGGGCTCCACAGTCTGTGCCTCCCAATCCCCAGGAGCCAGAGCAGATGTTGCATAGGTGGAGGCCACGCCCTTGGCAGGTGAAGGTCCCCTAGGCTGGAGGCAGAGAGGCTGAAGGAGGGGAAGAAGTAACTCCGATGGCTCAGGAAAAATGAGAAATATCAGAGGTGAGCAATGTCAGGTGGACCAAGGGTTATCCTCTCAAGCTTGAAATGTGAGCTCAGTCCCTAGGTGCTAAGTCTGCTGGGAAAACTTGAGCCAAGGGAGTTGGGAGGGCAGACGGTGTTGGACACAGACATGCACACTGAAGCACATCAGGGGGGAAGTGGTAAGGGAAAGAAAGTGGCATCAGAGCTTTGGGGGAATAGGACGTGGGGCCAGTGCCCTGGGGTGGTGGCAGGATGCCCCTTTGAAGACCCTGGGACACACAGCGTTTGGAGGGCTTCAGCTCACAGGATAGGGAAGGGCAGAGGGGTAGGCAAATTTGGAGAATTCCTGCCTCTGACCCTGCCACCAGAATTATTTCTCCAGCTGGGGCTTGTAATGTCGTCAGCCCTGCAGAGGCAACGTGCAAGGACATCCACTCTCCACTCCTCCCAAGTCTGGGGGGTGCACAGGCTGGGCCCACTGACATCCCACCTTTGGAGGTCCTTTCGCTTTACCTCCACTGCCTTCTACTCTGCAACTCCCACCTGCTTCCAGGACTCCCCTTGTCACCCAGGTCTGTCTCCTGCTCTCCCTTAGCCAACTTTGATGAATGCCCCCTGGGTAGCAGTATACCACCCTCCCAGACCCGTGTTCAGAAGCTGCATTTAGGGAAAGGACTGAGGTACACCACACCCTACATTTTGCCACTGCCATTCCCCTCCCCTCTGGCAGCAGCTCTTCTGAGCCAGGGAGAGGAGGGGAAGAAGTGGAGTGGCGGCTGTGGTGAGCACAGTCCCTCCAGACCAGAACCCCAGGTGCCCGGTGAGATAAACAACAGTAGGGGAGTGACAGAAAGGAAACCCCGACCTCTGGGGCCAATGCCAAGAAGAGGATAGGACATTTCCATGGTTCTACGATGGAGTACCGGCGCTGACATCTGGCCCCGGCCTCAGACCCGGTGAATTCATCAGCTGGTTGGAAGTCAGCCCTGCTCTTCACCAAACCACGGCCCTCTCAGTAGAGAGAGGCCGCAGGGGGGCCGGGCAGTGAAGGAAGGAAAGCCCCCGTTTCCCTTCCTCAGGCCTCAGAACCTCCCCAGCTGCACGGTGAGGGCCTCTCACATGAGATGAGGCCCAACTTGGGTCCCACCGCACAGTCGCCACATTAACAGTCTGAAGATCCTTTGAGAGCCTGGACAGGAGATATCGGGTGTGCGTTAAGAAAGGGGGTGGGGTCCCCTTAGGAACTCAGGGGCGGGACTGGAATTTACAACTTTGCCCGGGTGGAATTCTCCGGAGCTGCCAGCCACCTCCCACCCATCTGTCTATGTACAGGGAAGGCGCGCATCTCGGGTTCCCCCGGGGTCTGTCCCGCACACCCTTACCTCACCCCACCCCACCCTACCCTCGCCTCGGGCACCATCGTGACTGCCCCTGCAGCACGCAGGGGACACCATCCGGCAGGGGCAGGAGGGAGGGGGGCGGGCGGGTCCAGGGGCCAGAGGTCACAGTGAGGTCTCTACGCAGGAGCCGTGGCGGTGCAGCGGCCGATGGCTGTGGCCCAGACACCCCTCCTGCCGGTGCACAATAAGGACTGGGAAGTAGAGGGCGTCGTGGTAAGGCGGCGGCGGCCCGGCCTCCTCCTCGTCGTCGTCCTCGTCGTCCCCCATGCTGGCCTGGCTCGACAGCCGCGTCTGCTCCGTGGGGCAGCTCGCCTCGTTGACGCTCCCGCTCCGGCTGCGCCACAGGCAGCTGCGCCGGGAGCCGTAGAGGCGGCCGAGCGAGAAGCGGCTGCCCGCGCAGCCCGGCCCTCCGCCGGGCCCCGGGCCGGCCCGCGGGCTGGCGCAGATGCTCAGGGCGCTGCGCGAGAAGATAGAGGAGCTGCTGACCGCGCGCTGGCAGTGCTCGCAGCTGCGCCGGTACGGAGCCACGCCCGCGGCGCCCGGGCCGCCCACCCCGCCATAACGGCAGGTGGGCGCGTAGCCGCCCGCCGCGCCCCCTGCGCAGCGCGCCCCCAGCCCTGCCAGGTCCATGAGCACCGCTTCCGAGTAGCTGGGCACGAGCTGCTGATTGGAGCGGATGTGCCACTCGAGCTCCGTGCTGTCCACCGTATTGACCCGCGGCAGGCGGTGTGTGAGCGGGGGCAGCAGCTCGTCGCTGGGGCTCAGGCCGCCGCCCGCGCTGCTTGCCGAACCCGGGCCCTCCAGGCCGAAGAGCTTCTCCACGTGGTAGTGCGCGTAGGCCGTGCGGTACTCGGCCAGCACGCGCAGCGGCCACGACAGCGTGAGCAGCGCCGCGGCCCAGAAGGCCGACGAGCAGGCGTACCACGGCGGCCTGGTTGGGTCTGGGAAGGCCACCATGAACTCGCGGAAGTCCACGTTCTTGAGGTGCATGCCCTCGCGCGCCTCCATGTAGTCGTCCAGGCCCTCGTTCTCCGCGAAGAAGCGCGCGCGCTGGCACAGGTACGCGTTCTCGGCCTCCACGCTGGCGAAGCTGAAGCACTTGGTGAAGCGTAGCCGCGTGGCCGGCGCGCCCTCCAGCCCCACCAGCGCCTTGGACACGTCCCGGACCCCGCAGCGCGCATAGTCGAACTCGGCCTCTGCCACGTGCGTGTTGACGCGCTCATGGTAGACCTGCGGCGCCGGGGAAGGCTGCGGGAGTCGCTTCTGTCTGCTCACCCTCTTCCACCCCATCACTGCTCCTTTTGCCTGGTCAAACCCTAAGCCTGTCCTGGGTTAGATCCTGACTGGAGCCTGGTCGGATCTTATCTGGTTTATAGTGAAACTGAGGCCCTCAGCTTGATCAGTGAGTTAGCGATGAGGACTAGAACTCATCCCTACCTGCGTGCATTCTAATTTTAATTAAGTTCTGCTTCTTCTGGGGGTCAGGCCCTGGCCTAGAACTACCCCTCCAGCTTGCTTGGCCCTTTTGCCACTGACTGTTATCCCATGCTGCCTCCTCATCACAAACAGCCTGCTTTTCTTCCCTTTTACAAGTGTTTCCAAATGGGCTCTCTAGAGGAGCTCCCTGTCCAACACCTTTGTCTTTGGTCTCCCTGGACCCACCTTAGCTTTTACCCAGCCTCCTTCTAGATTCCCGCAGGCCTCAGGCTCTGTTTACCCATCCCAGTACAGAGACAGAAGTCACCCACGTCTAGGAAAATCTCTCCCCGCTCTTCCTTCAGAGCTTTCCTATGTCTAATCATCGTGGGTCCAGGAGGTACTGATTGACACCCCCACACTCTCCATGGCTCCATGGGGCCTCGCCTACCTCCACCTTTTTGCCAGCTGACCCCTACCTCTGGGAGCCTTGGACTTCGGATCCAAGGCCCTGGGTTTGAGTCTAGTGCTACCACTTAGAAGCTAAAGACCTTGGGCAAGTCACTGAGCTTAGGTCTCCTTGCCTGTGAAAGAGAAAACACCTCACTGAACAGGTGAGAGCATGCTGTGAGACTACGTTATGTGAAGCCATCTCCAACCAATAAACACAGAACAGTATAGACCTTGGAGCCAGACTGCCTGGGTTCAAATCCCAGCTGTACCACATACTAACAATTTGACTAATAAAATGGGGTAATAGTTACCTACCTCATAGGGTTGTTACAAGGGTTAAATAAATGATATTTGTAAAGTACTTATAGAACAGCCTGGCCTCTAGATAAGTGTTTGCTACTATTACAGTTTGTTATTGCCTTCCTGTTGCAGTACCCACAAGAGCTCATGCTACCTGTGCTCCTGCCCCTGGGGATATTTAAGCAGGGTCCCAGCATCCCCCTCCCATCTGGACTGGCCTGCACTCCCATCCAGCCCCTCACCTGGGTGGTGGTATAGGCATCTCCATTGCGGTATCGGGTGACCTGGCGGGTGCGGCGGACATAGTGGTAGCTGATGGCCTTCCACCAGATACAGGGTGTGGCCTGCTGCATGCGGCCCACACGCTCCCGCACGCTGCTCACATCAACACGGTGCTGCAGCTCGTGGCGGGCTTGGCAGTGCCAACACTCCACCAGGTAGACGGCATACAGCATGAGCAGGAAGGCCAGGGGGATGTAGACATAGCCGTTGGAGCAGGGGCTGTCGTGGTACATGAGGCTGTTGCCCTGGTATGCGCTGCTGAAGGTGAGGCGGGTCACTGTGGTGACGTGGCACCAGGCGACGGCCCCCAGGCAGCCGTACATGAGCAGTGAGAGCAGCAGGCACTTCCAGTGGGACTCACGGCAAAGGGACTTGGTGAAAGAGGGCTGAATGGGACGCTGCTGCTCAGATGGGCAGGGAATGGGGACGAGATAAGTGGGGCATGAGACACAGTGGCAGGACCCAGCACAGGGATGGATGCAGGAATGGAGGGACAGAGGCCAGTACCAGAGATGAAGACAGAGACAGACAGGGATATGGAGAGAGAAAGTAATGCCGAGATGGGACCCAAGGACCAGAGATAAACACAGAAGTGACCCAGAATGAGCCATGGGGACAGGAAAAGGGCACAGAATGTCAGTATAGGGAAGTTCAGAGAGAGAGAGAGAGAGACACCCCAAGAGGCAGAGTGGGATCAGAGCCAGAGATGGAGAGAGGAGACCCAGGTGGCAACAAAGACACAGATGGATAGGATGGCATCCAAAGAAACAAAAGTCCAAGGACACACAAGATGACAATGAAACAGGAAAAAGTGTGGATGGGGAAGACAGGGGAGGACAGACAGCCATTAGCAAAGGCAGATCGCCAGCCCAGACCCCTTCCATATGTTCCAGGAAAGAGGAGAGGGACCCACTGACATCACCTTCCCAGTTAACAGGTGGGGCCCTCACTTCTTCCAGATTCTTTCAGTCCTAGGTTCTGGAGGAGCCACTCCTCTTGACCTGTCCACTTCCCTGTCCCTCACAATCAGCCTCATGCCTCCTTTAGAGGTATCCCCCAGGCCCCCTGAGAGCCCCGTTCTACACCCTAGCATCCTTCCCTTCCAAGATGGGAGGGAAGGTGCTGGCATCCTTGAGTCAAAGGCACTCCAGGAGGAGATTTCCAGAAGGGCAGAGCCATGTGGCTGGGAAGCGAGGATGTGAGATGGGGACTAGGGGTAGAAAGGAAGACATGTGCAGCCCAGACACTTGTCAAGGAAAAAAAAATTTCTGTACTCTCAAGGGGTTGTTGAAGCACTTCGCACATTCTGTCCCACCATCACCCCAGTGAGTTGTTTATATGTTCTGGGTCCCCTACTAAACTGAGCACGTCTGAGGGCAGGGCCTTGTTCTCTTTGTATCCTAGGTGCCTACCGTGGTGCTGGCACCCAGCAGCCACTTAATAGCTGAGTGTTCAGTTGGATTTCTGGTGGTGGCCTGTGCTTTCCCACTCCTTCTTCCTGCTGTCTAGCTTTAGATCCACACACACAGCCTCCTGCTGAGGTCCTGACCTATTCCTTCAATTCATCAGGCCTGACCTGAAGGCTGCCAGGGGAAGGGAGAAAAGGGAGGACAGGAAGAGCACAGTGACCGGCAGTGGGCCCTGGACGTGGTGTGAAACCAGAGGAAAGGTCTGGAAGTGCAGGTAGGTAGGTGAACTAGGAAATAGCACACAGCATATACACACAAGATTAAGGTACGTGTGCATTTGGGGGAGCCTTGTCGGGGGCTGTGCACGTGTGCCCACCTGGGTGTGTGCTTGTCCCCATAAGAGCACATTTGAAAGGAGCACTACCTGCAAGTCCCTGCCTGCACCTTCTGCCTAGTGCAGTGTGTGTGTGTGTGTGTGTGTGTGTGCCTGAGTGTGTGTGCAAGATGGGGGGGTTGCTCCTGGTACATGCCTCAGTCTCTTTGTCTCTAGGTTCAGAAGACTGAAAAAGTAGGGTCCCGAACTACGGATACACTTATACTAATACTCTGAAGGATCCTTGGGTTCAGGGACCCCAGGGGCGGCATGAATATTGAGAGAGAGAGGTGCACCCTCTCACACACTCTCCCAGGGACCCCAGGAGGGACTGCCTCTGTACACACTTGACCTTCTTAGGGTCCCAGCTTAGGTAACACTTGCGTACCATTTATCCCACGGTCCAGTCTTACCTCTGCAACCCCTACAAGTAGCCCTTCCTGGCCTTCAAGACAGAATACCCCACCGTTAAATGGGTCCCGGCCATCATCCCCACCCCCATCCGCCCGGGGTCCGGGAGGCCCCGCCCCCAGGCCCCTCCCCCTGCCCAGGACCCCCCCTAAGCCCCGCCCCCGGCGCGGCCCCTTCCCCGCCACCTCGGACAGCTCTGGCCGCCGGGCGGGGGCAGCGGCGCGGGACTGCGGCTGCAGCGGCCAGCTCGGGGTGCGGGGCGCCGGCCGCGCTGCGGCGGAACGGGCGGGGGCCGCGCGCGGCGGCGGATGGGGGTCAGGCTGCGGCCGCACCCGGGGAAGGGGCGCCGCCGGCTCTCACCTCCTCTCGGGCGGGGCCCTCGTCCGCCGCCGCCGCTGCCGTGGGCTCCTCCGGGACCCCGGGGCCGCCACCGCCGCCGCCGCCGCCGCCGGCGCTCTCTCCCGCGGCCGAGCCAGGGGGGGACATGGCGTAGAGGGGGGGAGTCGAGTTCAGGGCCTCCCGGGGGGCTGCCGGGGGCCGAGGGCATCCTGCGCGGGCCCTGGGAAGGGGGCGGGAGGGGGCGGGGCCCTCGCTGCACCCCACCCCCCGCCGGGGGGAGGGGGCCTGGAAAGGGCACCGGGGTTGAGGGGCTAGGGGCTGGGGTGGGGTGGCGGGCTGGGGGGCCGGGCCGGAGGGGCCGGGGCCGGGGGCGGGTGTCACCTTGAGGCCCTCGCGGCGCCGCTCCACCTCCCGCCCGCTCCCGCCGCCGCCTTTTGTCTGAGCCGAGCTGGAGCCAGCGTGCCCCCGCTTCCTCCCAGCTCAGGAGCCCCGCCCCCGGCCCCCCCAAACTCCGCCTTCTCCAAGCCTACCTAATAACCACCCCCCAAGAGAAGAAGCAACAGGGGCTCTCGCACCCCTTCCCCATTCCTCGCTCAGCCCACCGAACCCCTCCCCCCCACCATCCGGAGATCTATGCCAAAACTCCCGCTGTTCTCCGTGGAGGGGACAGCAGCGGTTCAACCAACATCCTTCCCCATACCTGGTTTCCGCAAGTTCCTGGGGCTGAGGGTGGGGAGAGGAAATTGAGTCTTGGAAACCTAGAGAAGATGCTTATTCTCAGCTGAGTAGTAAAGGATTGAGTCAGGAGCCAGATTTCAGAGGCCTGACTCAACTGAACAGGGAAAAGACGAACTAGATGTGAGGAAGGACTAACAGAGGGCTCACTGAACCATCTTCCTCCCGTGGAAGAACAGCCCCAGAGAAGCAATGAAGTCTGTACATTTGCCCTACACTGGAGATGAAGAAACCTGAGTTCTAATTCTTCATCCTGGTTCTGCCATTAACCATGAGTTGTGCCACCTCGGGCAAATGCTTTCCCCTCTTTGATGCTTAATTTCCACATCGGTGCAATGAGGAGGTTGACTGGATAATCTCTAAGGCTCTGACCTGTGAGTGTAGGAGGCAAAGGCAGAGACCACAGGCCAGGCTGAGTGAGTGCAGGTAGCCTACCCCTTCATGCCATCCCCCGACACTGCTCTTCCCTGCATTGCTGAGGACAGGCAGAAAGGAAACTGACTTTCATCCATTCCTGGATGCATCCATTCAAAAAACAGATATTAGGTGCCTACTGTGTACCCCATTCAGAAATGAAACTCACAATTCCCTACCCCAATGTATGATTGGGAGGGGCACATGGAAACTAATTATGGTATAATAGGATAAAGGATGTGCCTGATTAATCTGTGTGTGCACAGTCACTGTGGAGTCCTACTGTGTGTCATATACTACATTAGAGTCTTGGACATAAAATAACTCTGTTTCCCCATTTGTCCGCAAAAAACCAAGGCAGAGGAAGGGCGAGTAACTTATTCAAGGTCAATTGCTAGTATTTACCAAGCTAGGTCCTAGCGTCCTGATCTTTCCCATTCAAAAGTCCATGGAGATATTTACGGGTAGTAAGTTAGCTTGAGGCAAAGCCTGGATAGCTGATCTTAGGGGCTAGAGGACAAACACACTGAACTGCTGGGATGGTCCTGCCCCTTCATCTGAAGCAGAAGAGCCACTGCCTCCACCCTCACTTCCTCACTACTATACACACTCCCCCACTCCTGGTCCTGCCTCCATTTTCCTATTCTTCCCTTTCTAGATGACGTTGAAAGTGGCTCTCTATCCCCCTATTGCTTCAGAACTATCAAGGCTGCATGGTCCTCCCAAGTCAATGAGTCCATCCTCCTTGCCCAGAGGAAGGTTGTGGTCCTGAAGAGGCAGGGGTTCTCCTTCACCCCTGAAAGAGAAGGACTCTCACTTGGTGTCTCATCCCAATGTCCCCCACCCATGCTTTTTGGGAAGTCCTGCCTCACAGCTAACTCCAACCCCGCTCTGGTTTCACCCTATTCCACCTAGTTTAGTCTGCACTGCAGACAGAGAACAGAGGTCCTAACCGTGCCCTTTCCTAACCCAGGTAGGAATCTCACACTCCCCATTTAATTGTCATAATTGTCCTCCTGTCCCCCACCTCACTGCCTTCCCTTCCCCACTTCTGGGAGCTTTGCAGGAGAGATAGCCCAACTTCTTTTGGCCAATACCAGAGCTCCCAAGAGATAAAAGACCACCACACATCTTCTTTCACACACATTACCCTTCTTTGGAAGCCCAGGGAAAAGAGGAATGAAAGGAGGGGGTGTGTAAGGAGTCCGCTGACCGGCTGGTCACCATGGCAACTGGCCCTGTTTCCTGAAGATGAGCCTGGTTGGGGTGGGCCACAAAAGGAAGCAGAAAACACCAGCAGAGAGAGAAGAGGACCAGAGTACCCAGTCTCAGAGGTTGAGGAAATGGGGCTGAGGAAATGAAGTCAGGGCCCTGACCATACTGTAGCCTGAGTCAAAGTCCCCAGGTCATCCTTCCAGATGACACTGCATGGGTCCTCTTCCCCTTCCTGAAGTGACTCCAAAAGAGCTTCCCGTCAGTGCAAACTGGGTTCTGGAAGCACTAAGTGGCTCAATGCTGACCTCATGTGGCCAGAAAAGGGGCTGCCATACACCTGTTAACAGTTCAGAGCCAGACAGGAACTGGGTTATGGTAGATTTTTCCTTAAACTTAGTGTCTGTATGAATGAGAGAGGTGGTCACTGCATACTCCGAAGTTCTTGTGTCCTTGCAGAGGGCTCAGATGCTTCAACCCCTAATACCTCATAAAGGAAATAAAGTTTCAATGAAAAATTTTTTAAGTTTTGGATTAGGGACAGAAAAACATGGCTCTGTACTTTCTGAGTGTTTGACCTTGGGCAAGTCAACTCACCTATCTGGGCCTCAGCTTCCCAATTTAAAATATGGATGATAGTGCCAGATTTTGAACCCAAAGAGTCTGGGTCTGGAGTTTATGACTGTACTTTTCCTCCAGGCTTTGAGGATGGGGCAGAAACATGTCAGAAGAAGAAGTTGAGAACATTTGAAATCACAGTGACCCCAAGGGAAAGAGATGCCTCAATTTCCTTGGGCTTTCCCCTCATGGCTTCTCACTGACACATGCTCAGCACACCCTCCCTGCTATGGCCCTCCATGGGGACGGAGAGCAGAGGGTCGTCTTCTCCCATCTGCCCTTCACCCTCCCTTCTCTCTTCACTTGACCGCCCCGCACCTCCCCCAGATGATGTACTTCTCTTCTCAGCCCTCTTCCCTTCCCATTTCCAGCTGAAATGGAAATTTCCCTGACCCTCATCCAACTGGGTGTTTAGCTCCACTGCATGCCCTACAGCGCCTTCTTCTCACTCCTGTCTTAGTATAATCATTCTGTTGTAATTGCCAAGAAGCTTTTGAAGGCTGAGACCATGGGACGTTTTTTGGTGGTAGGGAGGTTGGTGGCTGTTGGTTATCACTGTTACTGTGATATTTGGTTTTGCTTCCAGCAGAGAGAACAGTGGCAACATATAGAAGAAGCTGTATACCTGTTTGTCAAATGGATGAATAAAATGAAGTTGCATGGGGAACGGCAGTAGGGAAGCTGGTCAGTAGCTGTGTACACTCACCCCAGTTTCCTTTCCCCAATACTAGCGATGGAAAGGGCGATGTTCCCTTGAGAGTGAACTTCCAAGGACAACGCTGTCCATAGGTCAGTGGCACTAGGGTAGGGGTAAATCATGGGGCATCGGCTGAGAGTGAGGACTTGCTACAATCTCTGTGGGCCCAGGGAAATAAGGGACAGGGGGAAGGAAAGATGTGCCAGCATTGGGTCTGGGATTGCTGCAAAGACTTTGGGGCCTCCTCATCGTGGTCCCACCATGAGGAACTAAATTTCCCTTACTGCTGGGGGTAACCAGATGTAACCACATGAGGCCAGTGTTTCACCCCTTAGAGAAATGAGCACTCTGCTTTTTTAGATAACAAAAAAAAAACATGACCACTCTGGTTTTATTAGATAACAGTCTGCCTGAGAAAACCCACTTTTGAAAAACAAATCTTCGTGCCCAATTCTGTGTGATCTGGGAAATTGACACAGGAGACCCCCTATCCAGCACCCAAAGGGAGAACTGCTCCTTTAAAGACAATGGGTGTCCCCTTTCTCTACACAAACCCTTGGGCACTGGTAGATGAGAAAGCAAGAGAAATTGACAGAAATGGGTAGGGGGCAGGAAGCAATTCTTTACCATCCTACCACCTACATGCCCTCCCTGCAAGATGCCCAACTTATGCAGTGATTAATAAATATTCCTTTAGAAACGAATGAATAAATGAATGGGAAAAAAATGAATGAAAAAATAGAGGAAGTGAAGGAAGGAAAGAATGCATGGAATTAATGAATGGGATAAGAAGGAAAGGAAAACAGTGAATGGATGGATGGACGGATGGACGGTTGGATGGGTGAATTAACGCTCGTGTGACTCAGGACCGGGTAACCCCTGACTCGGAGTCAACACAGAGGGCGGGGTAAGGGGGATTCCGTTGGGCGGGGCCTATGTCCGGAAGCGACTGTCGGGGCGGGGCCTGAGGGGCGGGGCGAAAGAGCGCGTCTGACCTGGCAGCCCAGCTGCCAGGAGTATCCTGTACCGTGGACCTTGCTGGCTCCCGGAGTCTCGCCTGCGCTTCTCGCCGACCCATTGGGCCCCTGCAGCCCGGAAAGGAGGCTATTCCGGACCGGGCGCCCGCTCCACAAGGCGAACCTGCAACCCTGAAAGGCGGCGCGGCGGAATCCGGAGCCGGATCCTGCTCTGACCGTGCCCCGCGGGCCGGTGCCGCGGGCATGTCGGAGGCGCGGAAGGGGCCGGACGAGGCGGATGAGAGCCAGTATGACTCGGGTATCGAGTCTCTGCGCTCTTTGCGCTCCCTGCCCGAGCCCACCCCGGCGCCAGCCTCTGGGCTCTCGGATGGCGGCGACTCCCAACCCTGGACCCATCCTCCGGGAACAGCCAAGGGAACACAGGAGAAGGAAGACACGGATGGGGAGCGAGCTGACTCCACCTATGGCTCCTCGTCGCTTACCGAGTCCCTGACCTTGTTGGGGCGCCCTGAGACCGAGGCCCCAGCCCCAAGCTCGTCGCTCCCCTCCACGGGGACTCTGAGCCCTCAACAGCTGGAAGCACTCACTTATATC